GGAGACTATGCAGAGCATTTAAACAGTGGAAGAAGGGATACAAGAATGTAATTACACCCCTGCCTACCTGCCTAGTCAAGATAAACAAGTCCTCAACATAGCTCAACCACAAAAGCAAAATCCAAATAATCCAATTATGCCTTGAAGCAAATCCAACAATAAGAGAGAGCGCGTGGAGACTAGTCAAAATCCAAATAAGAGAGAGAGAGAGAGAGCGGAGACTATGCAGAGCATTTAAGCAGTGGAAGAAAGGATACAATAATGTAATTACACCCCTGCCTCCCTGCCTCCCTCTGCATGCCCGCCTAGTCAAGATAAACAAGTCCTCATCATAGCTCAACCACAAAAGCAAAATCCAAATAATCCAATTATGCCTTGAAGCAAATCCAACAATAAGAGAGAGCGTGCGGAGACTAGTCAAAATCCAAATAAGAGAGAGAGAGAGCGCGGAGACTATGCAGAGCATTTAAACAGTGGAAGAAGGGATACAAGAATGTAATTACACCCCTGCATGCCCGCCTAGTCAAGATAAACAAGTCCTCATCATAGCTCAACCACAAAAGCAAAATCCAAATAATCCAATTATGCCTTGAAGCAAATCCAACAATAAGGCCATGCCCAAATCTTTGTTCAAGCTAAAGCAAGTATTTGATTGCTTTAAAATGAAAAATGTAATAATTCTACGTGTGAAATAAAACTAAACAACAGAATATTGCTTAAGTAGTAGCAATTTAATCCAACCTAAGTACATTAAGTGCTTATATATAGCATTAGATTAAAGTAATATTAAGTGAAAATATGACTTTGTTTGTCCTTTTGAAGTAGTGTATGTCAAATAATGCAATTTATCATACATTCATAAACCATACACCATAATATTAGTAAGCGACATTCATTTCCAAGATGCCATTCCCAACAAAGGAAAAGGTATGCAAGCATGGATGGATTCTCCAAACAGCTTACAAAAAATCCCAACTTGACCCTACCAAAAATAATTTACCTATAGACAGGTGAACTTATCCTAAAGATGAGGCATAGGTTCACGTATCCACTCCATTCAATTTGCAAAGATTTGGGTTTGGGATAAATTTACAGCTCAATACGTTAAGTTGACCAATCTAACCCACGTCAACTGAACCAATGTCCGGGTTTAATATTTGGAAGATGATAACTGACAAAATAAAGGTTTGCCAAGTTATTTTCATACTTATGCAGAAAATACTGATTTCAGCAAAATTAATAAAATATTCCCTTAAGGTTAAGATTAACAACCAGAGTGGCTTTATTGAAAGAATTCATGCTGACAAATTCATATGTTTATGATGGTACACCGCTAAAAATCACTCTTCCTTTTTTAACCAAGAGGGTTTCCGCCACAAGCTGCCAACGGAATAGTAAGAGAGATCCTCAAAGCATGAGGATTACACCCATGTATTAGAATTAACAAATACACCAAGATCATAAGCATGCGCATAAAATTATGGCCGTCACGTTCTAAGAACAAAGCTCTCAAACTAGTCGAACAGAGAGGAAGAAATCAAGAATCAAAGCATTTATTTCACAATATAAATCATATACACAAATGGACTGGAGCAGAGCATACACATTAACCGACAACCACCACGCGAAAAAAAGTGGGGGGCGGGGGTAGTTAGAAGACCGGAGGCTGGCCGACGAAAGAGGAATATGGTGGCATAAGATAACAAATAGAGTCGCTGTCTTCCCAACGGCTGCGGAGCAGATCGCCTGCGTTGGGAGTATAGGGCAAGAGGGGAAAGTGAAATAAAGAATGAGAAAGGAAAGCGGTGCTCAATAGAGAACTAGACCGACAAATTCGGCAGAAAACGAAGAGCATGAGACGAAAGTGCGGGATGCGGTCTATGCCATGGATGAATGGCAGCCAGCCTGAAAAAGAAGCCGATGACAGATTCGAGAGGGAGAAGAGAAGAGAGATGGGAAATAGCTAGCGGCTTACCACTTAAGGTGGATCAAAAACTGCTGTCCCGGCGAGGAACGAATTGTAGAACAGACGCAGGTGGTGGAAAGATGCAGGAACTAAAACGACGGCTTACAGAAACCCTGATCGAGATTCGAGGAATGGAAGCTGGGATGTGAGACCGAAAAAATAGAGCCCCTAAATATATCCTTTATAGATATATATATATATATATATATATATATATATACACAAGTAGATTCCAATCCTTAAAATTATTTATTTTATTTGCAATCAAGTTATTATAAATTAAAATATAAAAAATACATTAAAAATAAAGAATATATGTATTAAAATTTATGTGAGATGAAAATATTTTCCAAATTTTAAAAATTTTAAGATGCCTTAGATTGTTTTAGCTAATCAAAATTTAAATCTTAAGTTTGATTATTCTTTGAATTTTTAATTGAATTACTTAAACTAATAATTATAAAATTAAAAACACTCCTCTTATTGTTTGATGATAATTATTTGAATGTTAATTATCTTTAAGCACATATTTTATAGAGTCTCATATATATGTATTAGCTAAGAGATTTGGGCATTTTATAGAGATAGGCATGGCCAAATTTAGGGTGAAGCTAGCTTTATTCAATCCTAAGTACTAATACATTCAACGAAGTTATATGTGGGGCAATTTTAATGTATTTTGTTAGAAATATTGTGATCATACTCAATTATATTAATATTTATTTGTTATATTATAGCTATTATAATGTACTTGCCTTGTAATTATTTGATTTAGTAAAATAGATGTATTTGTATAATAGCTTTATATAGGGATCGATTCAATAAATGTAACTTTGTTGTGTCATAACTATTGTAATTGCACTATATTGAATTAATAAACTACAATCTTAAATCTTATAACAAACAAATAATATTTGAATAACGATCAGATACTTAACAAACTATGATTAAATAATATATAAATAATGTTCAAATAATAAACAAATGATTTTTGAAATAGTAAATGAATGTTGACTAAATTATTAAGGGGTTGTTTGGTTGTCTGAATGAATACGTGATGTAAAATGAATATAATGTAGAAGTAACGTATTGTATTTAAAGTATTTTAGTATTTTTTGGTTTGTTGTGAACTAAACAAACTTCATTTTTTAATAAGATTAAAATAATGTATTTCAATGTATTTAAAAATTAATACATTGGCTAGCAGCGGAAGGTGGCCATAGCTGGCGACAACGATCAGTAATGGCTACCGGTGGCGAGGATGGCAGCAACTGGCATACGCTACCAATTAGTGGCATAAGGATTCTCCCAGCGGCAGGGCATATACTACCAAAAAACTTTCAGCGCATTACATGAATCCCCGCAATAAAAAAGCCACGTACTTCGGTCTCCTCCAAGTACTGGAACATACAATAACTAGATGTCTACAATGTTTTTTTTCCAAGAAAAACTTGAAGATATAGCCTGCAAGACTCAACTACTTAGTTTCACAGATACCCAACATACACAACATGTCTGTAAATCACACAAAACACTCTATGGACTCAAACAAGCACCATAACAATGATACTCCACATTTTTTGACTTTGGATATACAACATTTTAAACTAAGTTTTGTCGAACCCTCTCTTCTACTTTACCCTAACAAAAACACAAGAATATATATACTCATTTGTGTATATAATATTTTAATTGCAATAAACTCATAAGCCATCTCCTTACTCATACAAAAACTAAAAAAAATAAAATCATTTTAAACAATTTGATTCATCATCAAATTTTCTTGGACTATAAATAACATACACACAATCATGGACTATTTTTTTTCAGCAAACCAACTACCTCACAAACCTCCTCACCAAAGAAGGTATGATAAATGCCAAACATATTTTAACACCAATACCAACACAACAACTCAAACACTCTCATAACCGATCCACATCAGTGCAGACAACTACGAGGTTTAGTACAATATTTTACTATAACGCGACTAGAAATTAGCTTCATAGTCAACTCACTATATCACACAACAATGAATTTTACGATAAAACAAAACACATTAAATTGGATTATCACCTCATCAAAGATCATCCTGGTCTTCGTAAAATTTCTCTTCGACACATATGATAGAAGACCACTGTGAGGACATTTTCAGCAAATCTCTAACAACAACTTGACACCAACATCTGACCAATAAGTTGACAATTAGACCATCAGTTCATCATCTCAAGGGAGGGGTAATAGGAGAACACCAAAATAGATACACGACAAGCCTCGCTCACATCTTACCCCTGTCGGAATGATCCATTGCAAACTCTTCAGTCTCCACTCTTACTTAGTGTTTCCAAACTCAAGAAGCATGCTTAGGGCTCTCCTCCATAAAAACTGTAACAAATTAATTATATATAACAAGTCACTTATACCCTCAGCTTTACTTGTATAAATATCATTAATAGTGAATTTTCTAACAGTTTATAGGAATGAAAAGGAGCTTATCTTCTCCATGTTTGAATTTATTTTTCCCTCAATCACTTTTTCTATTTTCCAATTAGGACGTTAGCAATATTGATCCCATTTTGGTCATTATAGGGCATATAAAGTCAATTTTTTTCTTACTTAAAGGCTTATATTTATTCATCTCATATCTTAATTGAGTAAATCACTTTCTCCATGCACATGTTTTAATGTAGTTTAAATATTGTTATGCTATTATAATATGTTTGTATATATATATATATATATATATCACATTATATATATATATATATATATTCATGCAATTTAAAAGAATATGTTTCAGCATAAATAAATTCTAAAAATTGGAGAAAAAAATATAAATTTTTAATAGCAAAAAAAAAAAAAAAAGACTTCTGTGAGTGTATACAAGTGTACTATGCATGCGTTGATATACTGTCACAAAAATATAAGTTAACCATACTTATTTTAATTTTTATTTTATTTAAACTCATCATCTAGAGTGGTGTCATGTCTTGAAATTTTTTTAAAAGCCTATATCTATTCATGAGATCATTTTGAAATTACAAAGTCAACATAATTGAGATATTAATTTAGTTTTTCATATTTAATTTTTTTAGCCATTAAATTTTATATAATTCCTGGCACATTTTAGTTATATTATCTTAAATTATTTTGCATCCCAAAGCATATATGCATGTCCGTGCATCTTATATTATTTTTCATTTATACATCTTAATGGTGTATTTAGGGCAGCTGCAACTTATTGAATAATCTGCTGATAAGCTGATTAAAAATAATTTGTTGATAAGCTAGGTGCGGTGGCTATTACAAATTTTTATTTTTTTGGAAAAACCAAACCGCTGCGAGAAATCTGTCAGTGTGAAAACATTGTTTTCAACGTTTTGAAAATGCACAGGCTGTCAAAACGCAGTTTACCAAAACAGGTCAGGTGCGTTTTCAAAACGCCACTGCACCAAATAAACTGCGTCAAACGGACCCTAAATTGCACCATTGTCTCTTTACAAAATTAAAAATTAAATTATAGTCAATAATTGAAATGAAAGTAAAAGTTTACTTATCTATGACTAGCTTTGGTTTTGTGATCGAGTGGTTACCCTAATTTCATTAATTACCTTGGACCTAAATTCACCCTTCTTCGAGGAACTACATTTCAAATAATTCTCCACTAATTTTGGGATAAGCTTCCTTTCCCTATTAATCGTGCATCATAGTACAATGATAAATTATGTCCCGTGGTAAGAAACTTGTGTGGTACATCATTAATTTATAGTGGTGATTAAGGCCAAAATGACTTTGCTTTAAATATTCAGGAATAAAGTACCAAAATAGTCTTTGATTATTTAAATGAGCTGTATTAGTCCCAAACTTTATTGAAGTGTCGAAATAATCTCCGACTATTTTAAAATTAAGCTCTAATAATCATTCATGGGATTATTTCAGCCACAACTTTAATATTTTTGGGAACTATTTTGTCTATACTGTACAGTCTGTGACTAAAATGACCCAATATAAATAGTCTGGAATTATTCTGGCACTTCACTCAAATATTTTTGTTACATGTTTCTTTTATATGTCATTACATCTTGAATGTTAAAAACTAAATTAATACGGATGTGATACGATACCAATAAATTTTAATCATTCTGCACGAATCTCAAAGCATGACATGGATCCCAAGATGATATTTTGAACAAGAAACGTTCAAATCTTGATAAAAAGTCATCTAGAGCTATGATTTCAGCAAACTTATAGTCAAACTGACCGACTCGATGAGACAAACCTAATGATATGAAAACTAGCTCAATCCAATTCAAATCAAGACCAGAACAAGTCATTAAACAACAATTAGAAGATTTATGAATACATTTGAAAAGTCAAATGGATGTCAAATATGACAAGTTTATACTCAAATCGAGCGGCTCGACAAGACGAATCCAACGAGCCCAAGATTACTTAATTCTGACATCATTAAAGCACTCAACTATCCATTAAACGTGGTATGATTAAGAAAAGCTCTCCGGACCGTCCGATTAAAATGGTTTATATTCTTACATTAATTGCACCAAGAACACTATAAATAGAGCCTTATTCCTCTCATGAAGGGGAATAAAGTATAGAGATTGAGGTCTTAAGGAGAAGCTACAGCTCAACATCACCACCAATCGTCATTGATCATCGCAGACCTCCGTCGACCGACCTCTGTCATCGACTACCGTCGATCGCCGACGACCACCGTTGACCTCAGACGACCACCGCTAACCGTCGTTGATCACCGCCGACCGTCGTCGACCACCGCCGACCGTCATCAACCTCCACTTAGTGGATTTCCGCAACTGAGCCATGTCCCGTGGTTTTTCCCTTACGGGTTTTTGCACGTAAAAACTTTTGGAGTCATCACCGCTTTTTTCTATTTCATCTGTCTGTGTGATGAACTTTCGTACAACGCTAAGACGATAATTCGCTACTCTACCGCCGCAAATTTTTTAGCACGCATCAAGATGTTAAAAATCTAAGGGTCCGTTTGGGGCAGCTTGTGCATTTCAGGATAAGCTGCTTATCCTAAAACGCGGCCCGCGGGCCGGCCGCAGGGGTCGGCCTGCGGCCTGTGTTTAGTGTAAAAACCCAAATGCAGTTTCGGATAAGCTGGCGAAAAGCGCGAACCAAACGGTATGACGGCGTTTTGAAAACGCCGCCCACACTTATAAGCTGCCCCTAACGGACCCTAAATCTAGAAATTGTGCGCCGGGTCTAAGTTCCTAAATAATTTCTTTATTATAAAGGAATTTTGTTTTATCAGTTCTTGATTCCTAAATATCAAAATATGAGTTGTCTTGTAATTCTTATTTCACAAAGGCATAAAAACCTTTATCCAAAGTCAGCCATCGTTAGCCTCATTGTGGATGCCAAAGGCTAAAATGAACATTATTCCAATCAAATTGCTTTTGCCAGCTCAAGACAAAAACTGTGTCTATCATAGTTATAAAGAAGGGAGCAAAGGAACGTGCATGATCCACGAGAGGTCATGGCCCATAATAATGGCATAACAGGTCCAATAATCTAAAATAACAATAATAACAAAAAGCTTTTTGCTTTGTAAAGTTTGATGATGATGCATGAACATAAACGGGACCCTGCATTTCCCATGTAAGTATATGAGTGTAGTATGCAAGGATAAAAATTATAAGAGAATTGTAGAGTTTACTTTTCTTTTCAAGAAAAAAAATGGTTTTAAAATTGTATAAATAATGACTAATATTTAGAGTTGTTTGAGATTACTTTTTGTTTTATTTTATTTTGATTTAAAATACAGTATGTTAGTCATGATTGTTTAAAATACAATTGTTTTTAAAAACACTCAAATCATCTTATATATCATCGACAAATTTTCATCATGTGATATGAATACTAAGAGTGATATGATTCTTGAAATATATTTTTTTTTTGCAAGAAATAGTCAAACTTTTATTGAAGTTATCGCGAACTTCAATTTCAACAAATTTACATTTAGATTGATTGGCTCGATGAAAAATTGGTTCAATCTGAGTCAAATGAAGTCTAAATCAAACTGTTAATCCACTAGTCGCAGGGCCACAAAATTAACTTTTAATCAAAGATGTTAAATTAATCAAAGTCAAATCAAACCCATATCAAACTGTTTATCCTCTTTTAGCCATCGCCAGACCCTCACAGACTTTACTTTTAACCAAAGAGGCTAAATTAGTATTCATATATCACAAAGCAACATTTAGCACCCTTACAAAATTGTCTCACTTGTTTCTCTTCTCCCGGCTTCTCATCTTCCCTCCCATTATCACATATCGCTCTTCTTTCTGCATTCCTTCATCCGTCCATGAAAGAGCTCTGCGATCTAAGGATTCAAATCAATGGCGAGCACACCTTCTTTGTCAGTCAAGTAATCCCCAAACCTCAGACAATTTTTGTAGCTCATCTGAATGATTACGATAAAATCATTATTGTTTCATGAACTTTCCGACCTCTTGCTCAATTTTATTTCAGAATGTTCTCAACTCGTTCTCAGGAAGAATAAGGAAGATTCTCAGGGAAGAAAATAGAATAATCGATAATACAAAAGGAACTGTCATCAGATTTATAGACTTCCCAGGCGGCACTGAAGGATTTGAGCTTGTCTCGAGATTCTGCCACAACAATGGCAGAATAGCTATAAGCCCTGGAAATATTTGTCTTCTGCACTGTGCGGCCAATTTTCTAGAAATGGAAGAGGAGATAACGCCTTGTAATCTTCTAAAACAGACCGAGAACTTTTTGGATGGCGTTCTCTACTTGAATTGGCATGATCTCCTCATCTCTCTGAAGAGCTGCGAGTCCTTTTTCGCCATGGCTGACTCTTCCGGTCTTCTCCAAAAGCTCCTCTCCACACTTATCTCCCAGATCTCAGCCAAATCAGAGAGAACGTCCCGATCCTTTTCATCTTCATCAGAAGCATCCGTTTTCCGGCGCTCATCTTCGATGAAGAGCATAGAAGCAATGAAACCATGCTCGATTAGAGAATGGTGGTTCCCAGACCTTCTAATTTTTGCTCCGAACATGATTGAGAAGATGGTGAAAGAGCTCGGAGCTTATGAATGTGAGAACGGGAGCCTCACGCTAACCAAATTTCTACTGTATTATCTCAAATCAGCGGATCAGAGAGGTTATGGAAGCAATTGGGATTATGGGGGGCTTGCAGGCACAGCAGTTTATGGTGTTTTGAAGATTGGGAGGAATGTTTTTAGCTATAAGGTTTTGTTATGGATTCTGAGATTGGTTTCAAGGCTAGGGCTGAGCAAAGAATGCCGGGAGAAACTTGATAGATTGATAGGATCAATGTTTGATAAGGCAGAATTGGATGATTTGTTAGTTTCAGGGCATGATGATGGGAGGGCATCATGATGGGGTTTATGATGTGAAATTTGTTATGAGATTGGTGAGGTTTTTTGTAAATGAAGAGGGGGAGGAGGGGGATTCTTTGATGAAGATGAAGAAGGTTGGGAGTTTGATGGATAAGTATTTGAGGGAAATTTCTCCTGATCATAGATTGAAGGTTTCAAAGTTTCTGGGAGTAGCTGAGAGCTTGCCAGATTCAGCAAGGGATTGCTATGATGGAGTTTATAGGGCTCTGGAAATCTTTATTCAGGTGAAAATTTGCCTCTTTTTCTCCTTGTTCGTCATGCTATTTTCATTATCTATTGTTATTTTTTCTTGAATCCTTTTAGTTTTTAGAAAGCATCCATACAAATGGCATGATCATTTGAATGGTTTTGTTAAAACTTGTGAACAAAATTTTGTTGAGTTTGGATTGAAAAGTGTTGAGAAATTTAGGGCGAAGAAAAACAGAAATCGACACAAATTCAGAAAAACACATGGAGATTTAACGAAATTTGACAAAAACGCCGAAAAAAAATTTAAAAAAAACGCCGACATCCTCGGGAGCAGAGCGGCGAATTTCACTATTTCAGAGGCAGTTCATATCCATAGGGTTACACATTATATATATATATAGATAAAACCTACAAATAAAATTACTAAGACGCATTCGCTCCCCCCCAACCCACTAAATTTTAAGAGACGCCTCTTCAATTCCAAGAGACACTCATCTTCATTCCAGGAGACACACCTCTTCAATTCCAAGAGACATATCTCTTTACTCCAAGAGACACATCTCTTCATTCCAAGAGACTCCAAATTCCGGTATATGAGTCATACTTAACAAATCTCCACCTTGACGAATATCCAGCCCCTTAGGAGAAATACATATACTCAACAAATCTCCAACCTGACGAATATTCAACTCTTTATGAGAAATATATATACTTAACAAATCTCCACCTTAACGAATATCCAACCCCTTAGGAAAAATACATCATGGAGTTTCTTACACCGACGTGGGTTGGGTAACCATTCCGTCTAATAATTACAAACATTCAACAAGTTAAAGCAATACAAAAACTTGTTGATAGTATCTGACTTGGTCAACATATCTGCTGCATTTTCATCATATGATTCAACAAAGTGAACTCCACCTATAACTGTACTCCTCAACAGTTTATAGATATTACGTATAGTGATATTTCCTTTTATCACAGTCAATGCACCTTTAACAATTCTGATGGTTTCTCTATCATCATACGTCTTAGAGATAAAACCATTTCTGTGTAAAGTGCCCAAGAAAATTAAATTATTCTTCAAATTTGAAATATGTCTTACATCACATAATGTTATGATAATATCATCATGCATCTTAATTCTGACTTCGCCAATATCAGTAATATTGTAATATTTATCATCACCCAAATGACTGAACCAGAATCATACAACCTGTATGAAGTAATACATTCCATGTTTGGTGTTATGTGATTATAATACCATGAATCAAAAATCCATACATCCTTTAATTGATTTGTTGTAACTGAAAGCACATAACTATCACTGCAATCTGAATTATCACTCTGCACCATATTCACAGATTTGGAAGATACATCATGTTTCTTATCAAACTGCTTCTTGAGCTTTGGACAATCTCTCTTTATATGTCATGACTCCTTGCACTTGTAGCAATGAATCGTCTTTCTGCACTTAGGCTTTGACATGAAATTTCGCATTCAAGAACTCTCCTTCTCCTCCTTCCTTCCACTATCCTGATTACCCTTAGCATATAAATAATTACCATGAGATTTTCCCCTGTATTCTGTTTTTGCTGGTTGTGAGCCAACAATGCTGCAGTAATTTCATCAATTTTGATTGTTTCTTTCACGTATGTCGGAGCAGTCACCAGGTGTTCATAGGAGGAAGACAATGAACACAACAGAATCATTGCTCAGTCTTCATCCTCAATACTCACATCAAGCCGTGTCAGATCTGTGATGATTTGATTGAAGACATTCAAGTGTTGCGTCATATCAGTGTTTGTCTGCATCTTCAGCCCATACAATCTTTGCTTCAGATACAGTTTATTTGTTAGAGATTTAGACATAAACTGATATTCTAATTTCTTTCATACTTCTATTCTAATTTCTTTTTTCTTTCATACTTCTCTTGGAGATTTCAGATTCATAACATGATACACAATCTCATCTGCCAGACATAAATGTATGGTGCATGTCGCTCGTAGTTGCAATTCTTTTCAATCTTCATCTTCCATATTATCATATTTTGTAGTTCGCAATGTCTTCAAAATTCCTTGTTGTGCCAACAAATCTTACATCCTTGTTTGTCACAATTCGAAGTTCTTGATTCCATCGAACTTCACTATCTCGAATTTTACACAAGACATTGTTATTTGATATTAATCCAGCAGCGAATTTTTCCTATCTTGTGTCGAAACAAAAACACACTGCAAATAAATTCAAAGAAACCTGAAATTTTCTCTGTCAATTGAAGCAATTTTCCTGCAATTCTGTTGTGATTCGTGAATCAAAATTTTCACACGAAGCACTTTTCCTATTCACGTCAATACCTCGGTTAAACTGCTGTCCTACGAGCGAAATCCTTCGTTTGTTCGCAAAACATCTTGTGTCTGTTTGCGAAATACCTTCGTGAAACCGCTGTTCGTGAATAGTCGAACCTGCTCGTTTCGCCTGTAGCATTCCGAACTCCACCCGTCTCAAATCCTCCTGCGACAAACTTGCGAACTCCCCGTTGACCGAACTCTCTTTGTTAGCCACCAAACTCCTCTCCTGCGGAAGAAGCCCTCTCACGCGAACTGCCTTGGCCACAGTAAGGAGTTCCTGCAAGCAGTCGCGATGATTCGAGAACACTGTTGTGAAGGTTCAAGAACTGTTCTGCTCTCGAACTGCTTCGCGCTTGTTCGCGAAACCGCCTCCTCCGCAGAACCCTCGCACTTGTTCGCGAAAACTTCGCGTGCGCCTGTTAACAAGATTTTCTTCCCGAATTGCTTCCTGCACCTCTGCGATTCCTCGCTGGACTCCTCCAAGCCGAACCCTTTGTTGATCCTCGTCGCAGAACCTTGGGCAGATTTCAGCGAAGTAGACGACAAACCCTCGCCGATGCCTGTAGCGGAAAAAGCCCCTGCCTGTCGCAGAAGATCGCCTCTGCCTGTCGTGGAAGAAGCCCAAATGCGCGATTCGCCTCTGTCGCAATCCCATTCCTCCCCTCCCGCGATCGCGAACCACCGCACAACTGCCGAATCTCCTTCTGCTAAATCGCCAAATCGTTCTTCTTACTTCTTGTGTCGCCGAAAGTTTTATTCCCTGCTCTAGAACCTCTCTCTGAAACTAATTGTTGAGAAATGTAAGACGAAGAAAAACAGAAATCGACACAAATAACATACAGAGATTTATTGATAATCAACAAAAATGCCTACGTCCTCGGGAGCAGAGCGACGAATTTCACTATTTCAGAAGAGAAGTCTACTTCGTACCCATAGGGTTACACATTATATATATAGATAAAACCCACAGATAAAATTACTAACACGCCCTCGCTCCCCCCAACCCATTAAATTCCAAGAGACACCTCTTCAATTCCAAGAGACACTCCTCTTAGTTCCAGGAGACACACCTCTTCAATTCCAGAAGACACTCATCTTCATTCAAAGAGACACATCTCTTTACTCCAAGAGACTCCAAATTCTGGTATATAAGTCATACCTAACAAAAAGTTTATACTGCGACATATGTAGTGCTGTCAAAATTATGGGAAGATATTTTGGAATCTTTTGTGGTGGCTGAATTGATTGAGCAACCTACCACTGATCCCATAATATGGTTTTTTATGTTTTTTACGGTCAGTTTTATTACGGCATTGTACTTTCGTGCGTGTGAGTGCGTGCGTGCCTCGATGTAATACATGCTTGTAATACACACACAGTAGGATTCGCTTTATACAAGTAAGGTAATGGAATAGGAAATATTAGTCCTTTCTTAACTTTCCTATGTTCTTCTTCACGCTGGTCTTGTCTGCTTCGCTTTGCCAGGACTTATGTTCTTTTGAAGCAGCTTTCCTGTAAAAGCTTCTATTGTATTTCCTTTCTCAGCTTTCGTGCCAGCTCCGAGCCGAGGAAGCCTCTACAAGAGGTTCATTTTCTTTCAGATTTAACTCGAATCTTGCCGCACGGGGGAAAAAGAAAACTTCACCTTTTAAATCCTGGATTTAGTAAATCCAGGTTTTTTTCAGTTCTTCACAGTTTTGCCTTGAATCTTAAATTTACTAAATCTTGGTGTTGGTAGGATTTCATAACTCCAGATTTATAAGATTTATTAAATCCGTCAACAAACAGCTCCTAAATTGTGTTATTCTATTTGCTACTCTAATTGTTTATAGCATCAATTCCTTAACGAGCTTGGAAGGTTGAAGTATAGATCTTTATTGGTATCAAATTCTAAGGAGGGGAGAGGCAAATTGCTACTAAATGTTCCATTAGGAGTGTAAACGAGTCAAGTTGAGCTCGCGCTAGCCCAATACTAGTTTGAAATAAACCAATTACCAAACTCAATCCTTGCTCATCTTCTAATGAAAGAATAAGACTCCAATGTGTGGTTGTGCTGAAATCACATAATCCTAACAAAGAGAACCTCTTCAATTTGTTTCAGTCACACCCCAACTTATCCTTCAAGGAACGTAAGAGGCTCTGTCGGTGCCTAAACTACGAAAAGCTCACTCTTGAAACCTGCAAGGACCTCGCGAAGAATCCAAAAATTCCGCCAGATGTGGCTGTTCAAGCACTGGCCTCTCAGCTGCCAAAGCTTCAAGCAGAAACTAAAAGAATGAATTTTCTCAACAATGACTGCTCTAAACCAGTTTTGCACCCCTCAGAAGCCAAGATTGACAGTTCACCACCATATTGCTTTGAACAAAAGCAAATATTGAGGTTCAATTTTCAGCAGATTCAGAAGAGGAAAACAGAGCTTGAAAATCTTTGCAATGAGATGAGTGCCCATATGCCAAAGATTGTCAAGTCCAATACACATTAGTAGCCTTGTTTGTTACACTACATGCCACCCAATTCCTATATATTTACAAATCTAACCGACAAAGTTTACATTTTTACATTTATACGACCGTCATCTTTCATAACCTTTAAATTGTAAAATACACATTTTCATATATGTAAAAATTAAAGTTTAGATGTTAGATATGTAAATGCATAAGAATTAGTGGTCGTATGTAAATCTATCTAAAATTTTTTATTATTGATCTGTAATCAACATATAAATTTTTTTCGATTTTAATCTCTGTTCTATACTTTTCTCTAATGCGATTTTTTTTTTTTTTTTTTTTTTTTTTTGTCTGATACCATTTTTTTCTTTTTTATTTGCTTGGCTGTAAATTCATTTTATCCATTGCTTAATTTCAAATGTATTTTGCCTAAAGCTTTATGTATAGGTTCTGTTAGGGACAAATACTTATACAGTGCTGTCATGACATATATAAAGCAAATAGCACTAGATATCTCAGAGCTTGATGTTTTCTTTTGAATGATAATACTGTTACAAATGAACTACTAATCTGCAGTTTGTTTACCCTAAATTTATAATTAGATGTCAATTCATTTTTGCTAAACCTAACATTGCTATCTAAAACAGAGAACAAAACTCAATGATATTTCTGAGAAAATATAGTTGCAAATATGATTTAGTATGACATAAATGAAATTAGAAGAGTGCATCAATACTTTCTATTGAATAATGACAAACATACTGCCATTAAGCCCAAATAGTTTAAACTCAAGTTTGGTTAACCACACTAAACATCTGACTCTACTTAAATTAAAGAATAAATATCAGTTTATAAATGAACAAACCTATGATAGATTTATGGTAATCAATAATAAAGTAGGAATAAGTTGAAGTTAATCTATTTTATTGCAAACACTAATTTTTTAATATCATAAGAGATTCTAATAATTAGAGAAACAGAGAAGAATACACTAACCTAACTTCAAATTTAAGTTGTAACCAAATATTTTCCTATTATTCATTCTTTGCATATCTATCATCACTATATACTTATCATCATTTTGAGACCCCCTGTCATTATCATACGACAATTAATCATTACATAAGTCGTGACTATGATCAACATATTATAAAGATATGATGCTTTTCGTACCAATGTTACTCATCAATATCTTTTAGGTATGCATCCTTATCATCGTCATTATATCTTACAAGCTCAAATACAACATTTCAGCACAAATATCTACCTAAAAGACAAAATTATGATATAAAGACTTAGCATAAGAGTCTACGATATTACAAAATATGTCGAGCCTATCGATTTAGACTTTATGATGATGATGCTGATGATGATGGCCTATATCAATGTGTCGTACAAAAATATGGGTTGATAAGTAGCCATGGACTGACTAAGCATATGATTTCTTATGGATCAAAGTGATGAAATTATAAGTTTACCCACATTTTAAAATGATGAAAATAGTTAGCTAACAATCGTTCTACAATAATCTCATAAACGTAAGTAAATAATTAGTTCGTGAAGCCAATAATCTCAACAATAATCTCATAAACATTAGTAAATTATTAGTTCGTGAAGCCAATAGGTATGGGAACTTACTATCAAGAAAAACCATATTGATTAATTGATTAGTTTAAATATTTGGTACTGCTTTTTATTGTTTTCAAACAATTTTCATGGTGAGAAATTATTTTTGAGAACATAATCTATTAATATGTAATAGCCGTACAAAAGTTATTATTCGTCTTTTTGGCAAAAAGAAAAAAAAAAAGAAACCTTTATTTTTAAAAGACTGATATTCCTCACGAATTTGCATCCATCTTTACAAAATGTTGTAGCCGCCTCAAACAGATCCCAAGTAGATATGCACTATCATTAAAATGTTTAGGGAATTATAGAGTTGGAGAAGCACTATCAGTCTATTTGATTTTTGATGGCATATTGTTGAAGATTAAATCAAAGAGAATTTATGTATGTACCCCACAATTTTCTTTATTTATACATGTAACACCTAAAATTAAATATTCATATATATATAATGCTTTAGTGTCAAAATTACATGAAAACTTATATCTGAAGTGATGTATTTCATTTAAAAAGGTTATTAATGATGTATTTGATATGATGCCAAAAATTGGAGTCCTATATATATTAAGTATGTAATATTGTGAGGTCATCCTTGAATTAAATATATCCCTCCCATCTCAATATTTGAAAAAAGACTTTAATTGAATGCTGGGAATATTGTTCCTAGATACTTGAAAATAAATTAGGGGCATTCACATGGTATCACCACTTCCTATGTTTTTACATATATAGCACATAAAATTTAATTTTTACATTTATACCACCAAGCCTTTCATATAACATTAAAAATACCATAATTTTAACAGTTAAAAAGTGAAATGCACCTTTTAATGTATGGGTAAGGTGGTATGTATGTAGAGATTGAAGTTTAGAAGTTACATGTACTTAGGAATTTAATGGTAAATATGTAGAACTTCCTTTAATATATTAGGTTTGTATGACATAAATTCTCTCTTATAGTTTAAGGCGTTGATATTGTCCAAAGAACTTGTTGAATTCAACCAAGTTTTACTCGGATAGGTTCCAGTCATCTCGACCAGCTCTAGTCGCCCTAGCCAACTCTAGTCAGCCCGACCAATTTTAGTTAGTCACCATCTCCAGTCAGCCCGATTAGCTTTAGTTGACCAGGTCAGCTCCAGTCGGCCCGACTAGCTGTAGTCAGTAGGGCAGCTTTAGTCAACTAGCTAACTCCAGTCAGCCCGACCTGGTCAGCTTTAATTTGTTTGACCAACTCCAGTCGGCTTGGTCAGCTCCATGTGATCCAAACAGCTATAATCAACCCAACAAGCTTCATTTAGCAGGGCTGACTCTAATCAACCTAGCCGACCAGCTCCTATAATCCCAGTCGACCATCTCCAACTGACAACGTAGGACTCAAGGTATATTGTCATTTGATAATAAATCTTTTCCTATAAATAGAGAAACATTATTTGTAATGGGGGTTGAAACCTAACAGGAATACACTGTTTTCACTAGTAACCTCTCTCTCTCTCTCTCTCTCTCTCTCCCTCACTCACTCTCTCTCTCTATTTAAGCTTTATTCCTTCAGTATGATTCCGAGACAATATCCAATTTAACATTCTAAAAGGTTCAAAGAGCAAAGATCATGCGACAAAGAGGAAGACAAGCAGCCCAAGGAGAAGAATCAAGCCATGAAGAAGCGACTAACGACATATAATTCATCAACTCACCCAAAAGAATAATCAACCTCATCCATTCGATATCCTCTACTCGACCACTTTTATTTGACCTCATCTAGTCGGCCAGGTCGGGCTAACTCCGGTCCATCTGCCAAGCTCTAGTCGACCCACCAAGTTTCAGTTGCCTAGGTTAGCTCTAGTTAGCCCAGCTCAGCTCCAATCAACCCGACTGACTCAATTTTGCCTAACCAGCTCCATTTGGCCCTGCAATCTCTAGTTAGCTCGGTCAACTCCAGTCGGCTCGACAGGTTCCAATTGTCTCGAAAAGTATCAGCCGGCCCTGTCTAGCTCTAGTCAGCCCATCCAACTCCATTTAATCTGACCAGTTATAACCAACCCACCAACTCTAATCGGCCTGACAGGTTCCAGTAAACACGACCAGCTCCAATTGTCTTGCCAACTCTAGTCAGTTAGGAAATTGCTCTCTCAATAAAGTTCTCTAAAAAATATTTTCTAGAAAATAGTTTGTCAATGAGAAGATAAGTCACAAAGGAATGAAGCCAAGTAATAAGAAAAGTTTACAGAAAAAATTTCTCGAGAACCTTCTCTTTATTTTTGTTTTATTATATTTTTTCTTTTCTTGGTTCTTCAATGTGAACTCACCCATAGCACTCAGGGAACTTGCCTCTTATAGGCATGTTTCTAAAGAGTAAAAGAAAATTGACCTACATTTTTTATCCTACTCGGCTTGATAGACGAATGATAGTGATGAATTTGGAGAAACTCATTACAAAATATAACTAGGTCAAATAAAGAATGAACTCAATTAACCCAGGATTGAAGTCCACGAGATATCAGCCTAGGTAAAGTAAAAAAATAGGGCGATTACACTCTGTAGGAGAGCTACGACCCCCAGATAAATAGTAGTATGAATTTAATGAAATTATTTTAATATCTTTATAACTCAGTCACATTAAAAGGAAATAGTCACTCTAGTTGTACAAATATAAGAGATTTCTTTCGTTTGTCACCTGGAGAACTCTCCTTATAAGATTGTGTCAACTATAATAGTGATGAGTTGGTGATGTGTGAGACTACTCCTTGAAGGTGACCCAAAATAACCTCACGACATAATCATGTAGGAGAGAGAAAAGCATACACTCGTCTTATAAAGATGAATAATTTGAGTTTCATATTTATCATTTTCTTATTTTTTTCACAGATGACTTCCAAATATAAGAGAATCAATGAACTAATATATATGCCAAAAATTCTCTTTTGTAGTTCAAGGCATTGAGATTGTCCAAAGAACATGCTGAACTTGATCAAACTCCAATCAGTCAAACAAGTTCCTATTGGCTTGACCAGCTCTAGTCGACCCGACCAACTCCAGTTGCCAGGCAAGCTACAATCAGTCGGACCAGCTCCGGTCTGCCCGACTAGCTCCAGTTGGCCCGACCAACTCTTTTCGGTCTTGCCAACATCAGTCGGTCTTGTTTGTTCCAACCGACCTGACCAACTTTAGTCGTCCCAACCAACTCAATTTTGCACGACTAACTCCATTCGACACAATCAACCTAGTGAACATGCTCCAATGGACCATCCCCAAGTGCTTGCATAGAATTAGGGGTATAATTGTCATTTTATATTAAACCTTTTCCTATAAATATAGAGCTTTGTTTGTGATGGGGATGAAAACCTAATAGGAAAACACTGTTTTGACTGTTCATCCTCTCTATTTGTCTCTATCTTTTCTTATTTACACTATATTCTTTGGTTGTAATTCACCAATAAACTCAAATTGTCCAACCCCAAAATTTTCTTAGGCACCAATTAATCATAGTGAGAACTAAGCCAAAGTCCAAAATGTCCCTAATTATTTAATAAAAAAGAATGGACTAATCAATATTCTTTTTTAGAAGATTTACACATATACAACTCAATTCCAATGTATTTACAAATCTAACATCCAAACTTCAATTTTTAAATGAATTTCATTTTTAAATTCTAAAATAATGAAGATTTCTATGCGACACTTAATGTATGGTTCGCAAAAAATGTTAAGCTTAAAATTTTGATGTTAGAAATTTATTTGGTATTCACGTAAACGCCCCCTTTTTTTTGTTTTCAAACCAATCGTCTGCAAAAAATTATTGCGTACGGACCGCATGCATCTCTTCATGCGGTGTCCGATCTACACCGTAGATCAATGTGATTGTCCGATCTACACCGTAGATACACCGTAGATCAATGTGATCTACGGTGATGATGTATTTCGGTGGGCCCCACTTTAATTTTTTTTATTTTTTTTACCGGCCCCACTTTATTTATTTTTTTTGTGAAAAAAAAATTGATTGTATCCTCACCGTACATCACTCTGATCTACAGACACATCTGTGTATGTGATGTCCGTATACAATAATTTTTCGCCGTCTGCTCGATCATTTCAATAGAATATGCCTGAAGCAGTTCTCTACAAATTAAAAAAAATAAAAAAAATAAATTATTGTCGTAAACGTTCAAGCTTCCAGAAACATCTAGAGTTTTATTTATTTATCTTAATTTTTTTTCTCGAGGCGTTTGGGCATATTTGTGGCAAGTCTATCGCCAACTCCGTCGCACTCGTCAAACTGCCACCGCCCGCCCCATATTCCACCGCGTGGACAGCTCGGTTCGGTCGTCCGAACGACCCGCCCTGACTGTTCTCAATTTTCCGTGGAACAAAATTAAATCAGGGAGTTTTACACACACACCACTCAATTCTTATGTATTTACAACAGCACATAATTTCAGTCCTCATTGATTTTGGGTCAAAGAGTACATCGTCATTTCGAATCATCAATATCCGATCACCATCATTGTCATGGCACACAGTCAATTTGAACCACCACTGTCAAATCACTATCATCAAGCCGATGCCTCTTAACCCTCACCACAGTCATCAGTTTGTCGTCGTCTGACAGAGACACTGCCTCCGCCACTACCATCATCACCTCTCACCCCTTGTCACGGTCATACCATTGCCACCCAGTCGACATTACTAGACCATAAAGTTGTTGTTGGAGTATTATTGATCCGTCGAAGTTGTAGCGGCTACTGTCATCACCGGACAACTACGATCTTCATCGGGCCACTTTCTTATGTTTCCGACTATTGTCAAACTACCTTCGCCGCTTGCTTATTAGTTATCATCTTGCCGCTTGCGCCTTACTGGTGCCATCACCAACCTTTGACCTTCATTGTCAAATCACCATACGAAAATCATCAAAATGTGACTATTACTACTTGTGTTGCCAGATCTTTATTGCCAAGCGACCGCCATCATCTATGACAATGAATTCGAATCTTCATCACACATCCCTTGTCATTTGTCTCCCATTGATGCAACGAGATCGTTCTCTTTCCCGATATTATCTTATATTCGTGTGATATATATATATATATTTTTTTAAGAGTAAGCAAAATTTATAACATAGATTTGAGTAGTAAAATCATTTCAACTCCGCTAGATTTCATGATTTTTTTTTATTTTGGATTTTTCTAATAAAAACTCTAGATCTCCCATCTATTAGCTTTGCGTTTATCTCTCTTTGTGTTAAATTTTGGTATTAAGTTAAGACGTTAATATTTCTTTATCACATTTCAATAATATTTATACCATCCAAAAATATAACTAATATTAATTTCTCTGTAAGTTAAATACATCATATAATTGATTTTATAAGACATAAAAATTAAAAGACTATAAAATTTAATTTTATGCATGCAAATCCACTTTTATTAAAGATATATTATTATTATTATTATTATTATTATTATTACTATTATTGTATTGAGTTAAATTAATTTGAGCTTGAGCACATTTGTTAAAATAAGGCATGACAGATGTAACCCCATTTGATTATCTTGACCCAACTTAATATCACTTGCCTTGGATTCAACATGTTAGTTAAACAGGTCAGTTATCTGACCCAAATCTGACTAGAAACAAACCTCATAAATTATCACCAACTATTGCTGCCAGCCACCGACAGCTGTCGACCACTTCTTGCAATCATTGTAATCAAAATACAATTGTTGTGTCTAACACTCGATTGCGTCCAACTATTATTTTGTGTTTGCGCATGCTTTTCTTTTTATTTGCTCTAGTTTTTTTTCCCCCACCTTTTGATATAGTAAATGTTATCTGAGCAGTAAATTTTGTGTTTCTACTATATGTATAAACTTTTGTTTGAATATAATTATAATTGCATTTTAAAGAAAATTTTGGTCTGCTTTTCGGGCTCGTCTGGACAACACCTCCAATGGGGGCAACAAATCCAAAAACAATAATAATAAAGTTATCGAATAACTTTCTCAAGTATGGTTACAACATAAAGTATAGTGCATCTCGACCTACCCCCTAGGCTAGAGAAATACATAAGGCTCCATTCAACTTCTTTCATAACAAGTTAACGTCAATTTTAAATAGTTCATATTTTATGACACGAATATTGATGTATTTTTTTAATAATAAATATTTTGAATTCAATTCCAAGGTTATCTAGACTTCAATTTTAATAAGTTTATAGTTGAACTAACGGTATCGACAAAAGAGCTATGATATTAAAATTGGTCCAATCTGAATCCAATCAATCGCAGATCAAACCGTTGAAGTATCGTTAAATATTTTTGATCGTCAATTGAATGATCTCAATTTCAAATTTGATATATCACACCTATTTGTAATTACTTGTGTTCAATTATTATAAATTTTAATATTTGAGTGAGAATTTTAAAAATAAATGAAAGAGGACGTCAGATTCATAAATAACAATATTTTGGTGTTACATATGTAATTGCCCGGAAAAGTAACGTTGGTCTGCATAAATACCTCCCCACTAGCTCCGAACCGAAGCAATCCCCACACTGCTCCCTGTACACCGTCCTGTTCCGTCCTGTTGCTCCGACTCACATCAACAACTCTGTTGTCCGCCATGGATAAGCTCGGGCCCAATTCCGCAAATAACACCCCCCTATCTCCTCTCGGCTTCATCGAACGCACAGCCATCATCCATGGCGACCGCCCCTCCGTCGTCTACAACCAGACGGTGTACACCTGGTCGGAAACCTACCACCGCTGCCTCCGCCTCGCCTCCGCCCTCTCCTCCCATCTCCGAATCTCCCCCGCTGATGTGGTTCGTTCAATTCCCTATTCAATAATCCTCAATTCATCCATCCCCCTTTTCATTTAACATAACTTAATTGAATCAATTAGGTATCCGTTCTCTCCCCCAACCTTCCCGCCATGTACGAGATGCACTTCGGTGTTCCGATGAGCGGCGCAGTTTTGAACACCATCAACACCCGCCTCGACGCAAGGACGATCTCTGTCCTCCTCCGACACTCCGGCTCCCGTGTCCTCTTCGTCGACATCCTTTCCTTTCCCCTCGCTCGCTCCGCCCTCGCCCTCCTTCCCTCCGATCATCGCCCCCCGCTTCTCATCCCCATCGAAGATCCCTACGAAGACCCCTGTGACCTAACTGGCTTCGACCTCACCTACGAAAAGCTCATAGCTCTCGGCGACCCCGATTTCCGGTGGATCCGGCCGGCGAGCGAATGGTCTCCAATGATCCTAAACTACACGTCTGGCACCACATCCGCGCCCAAAGGCGTCGTCCATTGCCATCGCGGCATATTTCTCGTCTCCACGGACTCTCTCATTCACTGGTGCGTTCCGCATCACCCTGTTTACCTCTGGACCCTTCCCATGTTCCACGCTAATGGCTGGTGTTTCCCGTGGGGCATCGGCGTTAGCCGGCACCAACGTCTGCCTCCGCCGATTTGACGGCCCCGCTGTCTTCGCGGCCATTGCCGAAAACCGCGTCACCCACCTCTGTGGCGCTCCCGTCGTCCTCAACATGCTGGCAAACTGTCCACCCACCGCTCGCCATGCCCTCCACGGAGCCGTTCAAATCCTCACAGCAGGAGCGCCGCCCCCCGCTGCGGTCCTCGCCCGCATCGAATCCCTTGGATTCGTTGTAAGCCATGGCTATGGCCTTACTGAAACTGGCGGGTTGGTGGTGTCCTGTGCATGGAAAGGGGATCATTGGGATCGATTGCCGGCAGGGGAGCGGGCAAGGATGAAGGCAAGGCAAGGGATAAGGACGCCGATGATGACGGCGATGGATGTCGTTGATGGAGCTACTGCTCGGAGCGTGCCTTGGGATGGAGTGACGATGGGGGAAGTAGTCCTGCGTGGCGGGCATGTGATGTTGGGGTACTTAAAAGACGAAGAGGCGACCGCGAAGGCGATTAAGAATGGATGGTTTTACACCGGCGATGTGGGGGTTATGCACTCCGACGGGTATTTGGAGATTAAAGATAGATCCAAGGATGTGATCATTAGTGGCGGAGAGAACATAAGCAGTGTGGAGGTAGAATCTCTGATGTACGGGCATCCGGCGGTGAACGAGGCGGCCGTGGTGGCACGGCCGGATGAGTATTGGGGGGAAACGCCGTGCGCGTTTGTGGGGTTGAAGGCGGAGTTAGTCGGGAAGCCTCCGATGGAGGCGGAGATGATTGCTTGGTGCAGGGAGAAGATGCCGCATTACATGGTGCCGAAATCTGTTGTTTTTCTGCCGGAACTACCCAAGACGTCGACGGGGAAGATACAGAAGTATGTGCTTAGGAATATGGCAAAGAAGCTGGGACCGCTGCCCGCCGGCGCTGGAAAGGGACGTGGTGCGGCTAACCAGGTGAGTAAGCTGTGAACTTTTGATGTCTGATGAGCTCGGTTTCTCTGTGCTTTTCTCATTATATGAATTCGGTACTTGTGAATGGAAGATATTGAATCACATTGTAAGTTTGGCTTATAATAGCATGTGAGGGGCTATAGTTGGAGAATTTGAATCCTTGATCTATATTTATATATATTTAGATTCTAAAGCTAGAAGTTTTGGTTGTATTTTGTGTTTGATTGAAAGGTTTTCTTAGTGTAATTGGCTTAGATTTTTGTGTTAGGCAATTTGCAGGTTTTCTTTTTTTTTTTTTTTGTTGTTATTTTAAGGTTTGTTTGGGATGAATTTATTTTATTTTAATAATATTTATGTTTAGTATATTTTTATTTTTATTCTTAAAAACAAATCAACCTATTTTTAAAAATATTTGAAGATAAATTTTAGGTGATTCAAATATTTTTTTTTAAAAATTGATTTGCTTTCAGCATGCCAAGCCTTGTTTATTTCAAATCAAAACTTATGTAAAACAAAATCACAACAAAAAAATAAAAAAAAATGATCATGAAGGGCTTGGTATTTTGATTTTATATTATTTATATTAGTTAAATTAATTTTGGGGTATTTGTTGGTTTGAATGCTTAGGAACTATAAAATTACGACAAGTTTTTTTTTTTTAATGTTTAATGATGATTGACGATTTTGGATGAGAGCGGAGATAGCCGAGTTATTGTTTGTAGTGAGTAGATTTTCATCAACAAAAAAAGTATTCATGCGTTATTAATAATTTTTTATCATCTAGCATGAATTTCAAGATATTATTGGAATAATAAATATTTTAAATTCAAATTCAAGATTGTTGAGGGCTTCCATTTCAACAACTTTATATTCAAATTGACCATCTCGACAAGATGGACTTGCTGGTATCATAATTGGGCCAATTTGAGTCTAATCAAGTCAAGATCGAACCATTAAAAAATATTTGGAAACTTTAGAACGTTAATTGAATGATCAAATGAACTTCAAATTTGACATACATATAAACAAATCATGCTTCTCGATGAGAGAAATCCAATGAGGTTAAGATCACTCAATCCAAGTTCATTAAAGGTCCTAAATGTTTTAAAAATCTTTTATGAACAAGGGGGGATCAATGTGAGTCATTCGATTAATGTGAGCTGGATGTTATTGAAGACCAGGAGATAACTTACGAGCCTCGTAGTTTCCAACCACTATAGAGTGCTGCCCGACAATCGCCGATGACTATCGTCAGCCCGCCCTGCTCACCGATGTCGACAGACTATGTTTGCTAATGACATATTCTGAATACGATATAATATTGCATTTTGAATACGTTGTAACAATGTATTATGAATATGTTAAAATGACTTATTCCGAACACGGTTTAACAACACATCCCAATTTTGATGTAACATCATTTCACAAATACATTGTAATGATATATCCTGAATACGATGTAACGACGTATCTCGAATGCAGTGTAACGACATATCTTGAATACGACATAATGATGTATTCTGAATACAATGTAACGAACAACACCATATTGAAGATCCGGTGATAACTCCTGGTAACAACTGTTTACGATCATCATATTCAGAATTTGACAACTTCCTCCAAATTTATGAAAAATTTTTCCTGACGTTCTATACTGACAAATGATGTCTCTGGTGTAAAATATTGAACACGAGAAAAAGAGTTGTAGTCACCAATTACGGTAGCTTCCCACTTCTGCCTCTGTGGCTGATTGATGCTCTTGTAACTATCAATTATGACCTATGTGTCTAATTACTACTGCAGCTTCCCACTATAGTCTTTGTAGCCAACTGATGCTCTTGTAACTGCTAACAATTTAAGTAGTCTGTTACTATTGTAGTTTCCCACAACGACCTATGCGACCACCTGTCGTTACTGTAATTATCAAATACGACATATGTGACTAACTATGCCCTATATGACCAATTACGACCTATGTGGCTAATTTGTACTCAACTTCCAATTACAGCCTCTATGGCCAACTGACTAAGGCCTCCAACATGACTTTTGTGGCTAACTACTGCTGCAACTTTCAACTACAACATCTGTGGCCAACTGATATTACTGCAGCTTTCAATTACGATATTTATGTTCGACTGAGCCTATTGTAGCCACCTTATGACAAATCACTGTGTCTATAACAATCAACTAGGTCCTTTACTACCCACTATTGCTTTTATCTCGAAGAACCACATTTCTTGTAGACCAATTATGACTATCATTACTAAATTATTATTGTACATCTGTGATTATTAACATTATAATTTCATCTTCTTTAATTCAAGAGAAGAATTGATTTATGTATATGCAATCACATAGTGGATTATTTTGACTAGGCTAGGTCCTGTGGTTTTTTCCTTTTCTATTGTTTTTTTTTTAACTTTTGTATCTTCTAATATTATTTTTATATTATTTGTGTATGTTGGATCATCATGCAACACTAGGACATTAATTTTTTTACTCTATAATCTCGAATTTTCTGGCACTCAACAAGTCCATATTTCTGTTTTGATGATATATGAATTTGCTTTGATGAATTGAAAATTGAGCTATAGAAGGTGTTGAACCATCGACATGATGCTTATTTGAGGTCATAAATTGCTTATTTTTTAGTAGACAATCATGATTGGGTTGTTTTGAGCGAATAAACACTGGAAATTGGTGTATGTTAAAAACATTGTTTAGTTTATTATAGAGAAATGCATTAGATATATCATGTCAAAGGATGTTCTAATCATAGTGCAAGGCCATGATTTTAAGGATCATGTGGTTGGCATTTTAACCATTGACTAAAGGCATCTCTATAACCAACTCCTTGTTCTTGTATCTGGCCTTTAGCTACGAGTTTACCTTTATATCTTGCAAAATTTTCGTCTGTGCTATGGTTGGTTTTGAACGCTCACCGGAAGCCAAAATGTTTTAATGTGATGGTGCTTTGATGTTTTGATTTCATAAGACATGGAATTGGAGAGAGAGAGCTGACGACTGCTACAATTTGAAAGGGGATGAGGACTATTATTTTTGAAGGACTGTATTTTCATCAAATGAAACATTGCTATAAAGGATGATTTTGATGGTTGAGACATTAAAATATTTTGCGTCTTTATGGTCTGTTTTGTATCAAGAAATACACAACAATTGTATCATGGAGTTAATTATTGATACGATATTGGTGGTAGCCATTGATAGCAAGTACGATAAAAAATTTTCATAGTATGAACGAAGGGGGCTATGCAAAAGAACAATTGGTCTGGTGAATTGTGATTGGTAGTCTTAAAAGGCATGTGATTGGTTAATCAGACCATTATCAGAAAAGGTGTTGGCCAGAGATGTAGTAAATTTGTTGTGGAGTAGTGCATGAGTTATTTTAAAGTGCAACGTTGTTTAGGTTCAACTACTCTATATTATATTTTTAGATATAAGGGGAGCTATTTTGAAAAAAGTATATCTTTAGGGGTGATGAAAGTTTTGAAGGGGATGACGATCGTATTATCTTTTATATAAGTGTGGAGAATTTTGAAATGAGGGTGGAAGTGTATTTCTGTAGTGTTTTTGAAGTGAATCTGCTTTGTTGTTTTCGATTTAGCTAGCATTGGATAAACCCAAGTAAAGTGAAAAATGGTTCAGGAAACAACATAATACTTGTAATATTGAACATAAATTAGTAAGGATGATTCCCGTACATCGGAGTGAATAAGTTCTCTATTTTTATTGGAATGATTGGGCATCATAGAAATCTTCCTTCACAGTTTAAGACACTGAGATTGACTTGTTGAACTCAACCACTCATCACTCGATTCTTGGCCGTCGACCCTCTCCTGCTGTTCATCATCAGTCAACTCCCTTTAGTTGGCACTCTCCACTCGATCCAAGAGAAATATGTGACTAAACGAAAATGTATGGATGGTAGATATAAAATATATTATCTCTGACAAGTTATCCTTTGAATGTAATTATTACTTATGTATATTTTATAATAAAATGTCTCTATATAAAAGGAAAAAGAGAATGTAAATGGAGGATCTTTTTTCTCTACCAAGGGACGTTAATTAGAAGAGAATTCAATACTTTCTCCATACAAGTTATGGATTCATGACCAAATTTATGTTTAACACCCAAAAGGTACAAGAGCATGGATTCATGGGCAACATAAGGAACATAATCGACTCATAGAGAAATAACTAGCAACACATAGTGCATTGGAGAACTCTCTTGGGAGAATAGTCGAACTCATCCATTCGGCGACTCGTATTTTGTCTCTTGCACTTGGTCTCCTCCATCCACTTGGCCTCCTGTACTCGGCCACCTGTGTTTAGCCAAAAATTTTCTCCCAAAAATATTTTCAAGAAAATAGTTTGTCGAAGAGAAATAAGTCACGAAGGAGTGCAGTCAAGCAACAACTCTAACACAGAAAGCTTAGAATACTCTTTCTTATTTTTACATTTATGTGTTTTTAACTTCTTCAATGTGAATTCTCGCATAGCACTTGGGGAGCTTACCCCTTGTATGCATGTTGCCTAAGACTAAAAGGAAATTTTTAATCTTTTAGATCTTACTCAGGATCAATTGTTGAATACAAGGGATGGGATAGGAGAAGCTCATTCCAATGTATAACTTGGCCAAATAGGGAATAAAATCAGTTAACCTAAGATTGAAAACCACGAGATCTCGATCTGGGTAAAGTTGAAAAATTATGGTGATTACTCCTTGTAGGGGAGCTACGACCCCTTAACGAAGAATTGTCTGAATTTTTCAAAATTACTTAAATTTCTTAATAATTGAGTCATGTTATAAGAATATAGTCAATCTAGCCACACAAAAGAGGAAATGCATTTCATTGATAACACTCGTAGAACTCTCCCTTTAAGATTAAAAATGAGTTAGAATCTGTGAGACTGCTCTCTAACGGTGAGCAAAACAATGCCCCCAATATTGAATCTTGTAAATAGGGCATATTTTCTCCACTCGAGATCTGTATTAGAAGAGTATAATATTTTCTCCACTCTCTCATTCTCTCTCTCTGTCAATCTCTCTCTTCTTTTAAGCTCTGCTTCCTGCGTGTGATTCACAGTCAAATT